TATGTTATTAGGTTATAATAACAACCGACCTTAATTTAGTCTTTATATGAGACTTGGTTTAGCAATAATTGATGTTAAACCTAGATCTGGCATTCAAGGTATTAAGTATTGATTTACAAAAAATGAATTTATCCTTCATTTGTTGTATTATTGGAATTTCAAATTACTTGCATTTTCCAGATTTTAGGGTGTTACAAAATACGCCATATAAAAATGACATTTTTCAGAATTATTATTTCAAAAAATTAACAGGGCACTTTATTTTAAAAAGTCTCTTTAAAAACATTTACAAACATACATCTGTTTGATATAATTAAATGATTTAAGGGCAGTTTACTAAACACTTACTTGGTAAGTGCTTACAAAATAAATTTCTTTATCGGATGAACATGACAAGGGCCAAAAATCTTACAGGGTAAGAGAGATGAGAATGATGGAGAGTCATACCCGGTAAGTGAAAATTACGACTATTACCCAGATAAACGCTTACCCGGTAAATTGTTGCATTCAATACGTTTTGATGTACTAAAATCTTACTCATCAAAATAAATTATTGTATTATACTCCTATATGTAAACACTTACCGGATGAACATTTGGGTAAACAGCCCCTTACATTTATTTGGAAAAAATTGCTTAAAAGTAGTTAATTGTTTGGATCTATAAAAAATTTAATCGATTGGTCCCTAATGTGAGGAGTACTCAACAAGTAGCACTTGAATGACGTTAGTGGCATAAATCAAACTAATAAGAAACTAAAACTTTGATGACAAAAAATATGAAAAAAAAATTCTATGAAAAATATTTGAAGTTTTTTATCATAAACAATAACAAAATAATATAAATTTTTTTTTATCAAAAATACTAAAATACCAAAAAGGAAACCAAAGACATATTTAATAAACCAAAAAGAAAAAAAATCAAAAAGACAAAAATACTCATAGGTTAAATGGAGGACTTTTAATAAATTTAGTATCAAGGACGAAAACAACAATAAATTACAAACCATAGATACGAAAATAACAATACGTTACAAATTACAGAAACAAAAATCGCAATTTTAAAACTACAGGAACGAAACTTACACTCTTTCAGAAACCATGGGGACGAAAATCATAGTTACTCTATTATTTAATTGGATTGGGTCCCACATTCTAAATGGAATAGGTTCATGTTTATGAACCTTAATTTCCCCATCTACGCTTCCTTTCAATGAGTAAAATTTTATAAAAAGATTTATTTATGAACCTTCCGGTGTGCAATGAAATCAACTATCAAGGTAAGACGTGTTATTTAATTCATCAGCAAATTAAAATCAGTGCAACCAACAGAAATGCAAACAATATTTTTGGTTACACATTAGAGCATTATAATACAATATAGTAAGAAAAAAACAACAGGTAATTTGTTACCTCTTAAAACTTTAGTACATGTTCTTGAACTCGAGTAATAGAGAGCACTCGTAGTCATGGCTCAGTGACTGGGTTGAAGAAGAAAGCATTAGTGGCCCAGGTAGATTGAAGGACATATAGCCCCAGGAAAAGAGAGCGCATCAGCATTAACGGATGCAAAGATTTTGCCATGATTGATACCTGTGGCGCTCCTATTAAGACTTAATTAGGGCATGTAATGGAAATCCTCTCATTTTCCCGGGTTCGGATCCCGGCGTTATCAAGGCGTTTGTAGCTATGAAGGTTTACCTGCGATGACTCCACGCATTCATGGTCGCTCTAAGGATTAGTCAATACACGTAAGCTAGCCTAAGAAGCTACAATTAACCAAAAATGAGAATAATAGCAAAGATAAGTGTATATGTATGATCAATGGATGAAAATGTAGTATATATAACTAACTTCTCTAATTATTTGATTTTGAAATTGTCGATCATTTCTCTAAAAATAATTATTTATGGATTCATCTCTTTAATTAATCCAAATTTCTTATTCTCTTATGATATGATGAGTATTTATTTTTTCTAAATCATTTACAAACCAATATCTTTGTACAAACTCTACTCTCCAATCCTGATCCTCCGTCAACTTTTCAATTAGTGTTTTAATTAGCTTTTAGTTTTTTTTTAATTCAGATGCCTGATATGTAATTTTCACGTGATGATAATCATGTTTGTAACTCGTTTTTCCAATTTTTTTTTTGATTAACTTGGATATCCAACCCGCTATGCGAGTCGACTAATCCCAAGGCGACCACCTGCTTTGCAGATAGTCCGGAGTCACCGCATTTGAACCTCCGTGGCCACAAGAAGATTTTTATTCCTCCTTGGATTTGAACCTGGGACCTCCTGGTACTTTTGACCTTTGGAGCCAAGCTCAAACCTATAAGACACCACCTTTGTGGTTACGTTTCTCCAATTTTGACACCAATTTCCCAGAAAATGGCAATCATGATATTCAAGGATTCCAATTATAATATACAAGATATTTGATGAATATCTCACAATTTTTGGCGAGTTCACCATTGATGTTTTGCGCAACTGAATCAATTGTTCATGAGATGTTTGGCCAAGTCATGGATTTGTTCAAGTTGGTCGATCAATCCCTCTTTACTTTAATTACTTATTTAGCTATTTTAGGTCGGAGGTATTTAGCCCCAAAGGGGATTGCGGTTTTCACAAGTTCTTTTAATTCAAACGTTTATTTAAGCATAAAAAATCTTGGATGTTTCTTATACAAAACCATGCATATCCTATTTTGTTTCTCGTATGAAATCATATTCAAGGGCGTGTCGGAGGGTTATTAAAGAATATTAGCCCCCACTATTTACGCTGGTGGTTCGAGACTAATTTCTTCCTAGGATTCAACCTCAATTAACAGAACTTTAAGCAGCGTACATAAAGTTCACATGAACATCAAACGATTGCAATTATGTATGAAAGTGTATCAGATAATGTTATCTATTCATATGCACCCTTATATAGTAGTTAAAACAAACCAACATGACTCTTCATGAATCAACACACCTTTTGGAAAGTTAACTACCAAAAAGTAGTTTCCCTCAAAAAATAACTACGATTAACTACCAAAAAGTAGTTTTCCCTCCAAAAATAACTACCATTAACAGAATTAATTCTGTATAAAAAGAATGACGAAATTATTTTTTCAAGGTGCAAAGTGCTAAGTGCTAAGTCTTTGATTAATTTATATATATTAATCATCCACCTATTCTTTCCAAAAGCCTCCTAAAAGACTTTCAAATATTTGAGTGGAATAGTATTTATTAACACAATTTTACTTTTCTTACCCACCTATGTGGGATACATAATACAAAATTGTAGAGAAAACCCATAAGTTCCAACAGTTGCTGCACAACACCCCATCCCATAAACAACAATCAGAAGAACCATCATCCGATGCATTACTTGCGATCTTCCAAGAGTCTAACTTTCGAAACCCGTGGGTTTCGAAATATGCATGAGGAATGGTTTGCTTAAATAGGTACAAAGCCAAACATTCCTCATCATGACTTGATAACGATTCAGTACAAGTAACAATAAGCAACATGGATAGAAAGAGTTTTTGCAGGAAGTTGAAATGCTGGAAGCATGTAGCCATTAAGAAAATAAGTTTGTCTGATTGTTATTGGATGCGTAATGTCATTTAAACACTTTTTGGATGAAATGGATTTGAGATTTACTAAGGAACGGTGAATTTCTCAAATTTGGGAATTTTTGGAATTCAATTTCATTTCATTGGCAACTAAACGTTAGAACGGAATTTGGTCAACGGAATTGACCATTCCAATTTCATTCGATTCCGACAGATTCCGACGAACCAAACGCCCCCCTTAGAGTTTGTTTGTTACTAGTTTAATAATTTTAATAAGATTTATACCTTATTTAGTCTGTCATACATGACTGTTTGTGATTGTTTGATAGTAGTTTAATGATATAGAAAGTGGTTGATTTAATAAGCTTCTAGGGTGGAGTTTTATTTAGAAAGCCAATTTTTTTCGAACATGTCATTCCCAAATAAATTTATGATCATTTCATCTATGAAAAAAATCTTTTAAACCTATACAAACAGATTAATCCACATAAACGGTTTTATCTATACATGACTTAATAGAATGGATTTCAATTCCATCAATGAAGGCTTTTTGAACTAAGCCTTCTGTCAAAGTCAAGAAGGTGATTTGGTTTCTGAACCAAGCCAAACGTTATGAAGCGTCAAGACTTGGTTATTTCATAAAGCATATAGTGTTTTGAACTCAGACTTAGCTTTTTCAAAAAGCATGTAGTTTTCTCAACTATACTCAGACGTAGCAATTGCAGAAAGCACGTAATGTTATTAATTAAAATTATGAGGAGACTTCAAAGTCTTCAAATATAGCAATGGACAATAATGACGAATCTTTTTAAGGTGGAGGAACGCATCAATCCAACGTCTTTACCCTTTTTTTTCTAAGTATATTTTAAAAACAACAGTCATTGACCATTAAGTAAACATACTTTTAATAAATAAATCGGTCTAGAATGCAATAGGATATGAAGACAATGATAACTTAATAGAAATTACTACTAGTGATACAAAAAACGACTATTTACGAAGTGGTGGAGCCACACAATCACAATGGGTTAGAATACTTGTTAGGTGATTTCAGTGTCATCAATCATTTCGATGGGATTGTGGTTCATTCGAGATCGATTAAGGTGATGAGACAAATATAAGTGATTTAAGAGGCATAGAGTGCATACTCACAAATGTTGCCCCTATCATCAAAGATCGCCACAAGGCAAAGGTCAAGGGAGTCGCGCCTCCTTATAGGGTTCTAGAGGTAGCGCCCCTAGCGGGGTTCCAAGGGGCATAGTGTGATCAGATCTCTGAAATCATAGAAAGGAGAAATAAAAATCCTCTTGTGGTTGCGGAGGTTCAAATGTGGTAACTTCGGGTTATCTGCAAGGCAGAAGTTCGTCCTGTGATTAGTCGGCTCTTATAGCAGGTTGGATATCTAGGTTAATAAAAAAAAAAACGAAAACGATACATGCCTTAGATGATCAAGACATGGGCAAGATGGTTTGGTATAAGGACGTGTTTTATGATGCATGAATGAAGAAATATAATTGAATCTCTAATCTAACTATTAACGAAATGTATGAGTAACGTCCAGTGGCGGATCCAGGATTTTTGTTTAGTAGGGTCACCTTTAAGGTAGATTAAAGACCTGCAAAATCGTCCGATGTGTTTTTAACTTAATTACATCGTTTTCAAGGGAATTTTAAAGTTTTTGGGTTGATTTCGAGGTTTTTTTTTTTTTTTTGTGTTTTTGTCGATTTCAAATAACTTTTTTGGTTTTTTTGATTGACTTCAACATATTGTTTTTGGTTAGAGCAACGGTTTCGATTAGGGTTGGGAGCCCGTGGAAAAATGTAATGGGGGGAAGTGAAAGTTAAATCATGTAAAACCTAAATTTTAACTTATGATTCTTTTTAAAGTTTTTGACTTAGGTCTTTTCCCCCTCCTTTTTGCCATTGCATCCGCCCCTGGTAATGTCATTCCAAGAAATTGTTTTTACTTTTGTGTCACAAACTTCTTTTTCCTTTATTGTCTTGCTTCGTATGTTGAATACTATCACCACGATAAAATTGGGTTTATAGGATGCTTCACATTTCTAAGCATTAATGTTCTGTAGGATTTTAGCTTACAGGACCAAACAATAAAAATCTTATCTTAAAGTGTTACAAAATGTTTATACGACGTTTTTAGGAATTTTTACTAGTTTATTAGGACATTCTTAAAGTAAAGTGCTGTATTAATTATTTTTCAAGTAAATTTTGAAAAGTTGTACAGGACAGTTTTGTTTATATGACAAATGTACACATCGTGTTCTATAAAATATGTAATACGAGATTTTATTTTAAAACATCCAAAAAACATCCGATAAACCTATTGTAATAATTTTAGATGTAACAATTTATTATTTGATGTATAAACTGAAAGATACAAAGACGGAAAGGAATGCGACTATTCTTCTTAGTTTCTCCTCCGGTAACCGAGTGGCCTTATCGAACCGTCGTTCTTCTTCCTGAATCGCTCAATAAAGCTCTGAACGTACCTTGTATATAAAATGTTCCCAATAACAATTCCAACCACCATTCCACTTCCAAGTCCCAAAAATGTGACCATCCAATCTACTCTTCCACGTAGGAAGCTGAGGGACTCAGATTTATTGTGATCACTCGTTGCCACTGAATTCCGACAAACCTTAGACAAAGGTTTTCCACACAATCCAGGATTCCCRACATAGGAGYTGWCTTCAAATGTATTGAATTGTTTTCCTTCAGGTATGCGACCAWTAAGATGGTTGAATGATACATTCAAAATGGCAAGGAAGCCAAGTTGCAACAGTTCTTGAGGAAGTTCTCCCGATAGCTCGTTTTGCGAAAGATCCAACGATTCAAGATTCTTTAGGTTTTCCAAGGATGGCAAGACACGTCCCGTAAGATGGTTATTGGAAAGATTAAGTGATTCAAGCCCTTGAAGATCGTGGAGTGACTCTGGGATCTTTCCTTTAAAATTGTTGCAAGATAGATCGATCGCTGTGAAGATGTCTAGAATACGTTGGTACTCGGTCTTGACACCTTTGTTTACCAATGTCATCGAGTATGGCCACTCTCCTTTGTGTACAAACACTGTGCCCATTATCTCTATTTGCATCACAGATGATTTTCCAGCATAGACAGATTTCATGGCGTTCCAAATTTGGAAGTACTTATGGGGCAATCGACCACTAAAACCATTGTTTGAGAGGTCAATGATTCGCATCTTCGGGAACTGTGAACTATCATCTATCGGGCCCTCCATCGCCCCATGGAACTTGTTGGAACGRAGAATAAGCACTTGCAACTCGACAAGACTTCCCATCCAAGATGGAAAGACATCATCAAAAGTGTTATCTCCAAGAGAGAGAACTACTAAATGGGTACAGTTTGCCAATGATCTTGGCACACGGCCCTGAAATTGGTTTTCACTCAAATCAAGCCTCTTTAACCGGCATCTATGCGAAAAGGTGTTGATAATTGAGCCATGAAATTTATTCCGTTTGAGATCCAAAACCGACAAGGAATTGCTTAAGCTGCCTAAACATGGAGGAAGCCTTCCTGTCATGCTGTTAGAAGACATATCTAGCAGTCTAAGAGACCTTACTTCACATATCAATGATGGTACTTCTCCTGTCAGATTATTATCTGAGACATCATAAATGATAACCGACTGTGGTGGAACCGGCACCCATCCACGTAACTTGTTATGTGAAAGGATTAATGTTTCCAAACGAACCCATAAAAGAACACGGGGATGTCGATGAAAGCCAATTATTAAGTTGTACGATAGGTCAATAGTTTTTAGTGTTTCCAGACTACTTTTCCAAATCCACACGGGCACGAGACCATCGATTTTGTTGTGGTCGAGAAACAAGGTTGTCAGYTTACGTTGGGAAATCAAAAAGGTGGGAAATTCCTTTAAGTTGCATGATGCCAATCCTAGATCTTCTAATTCTAGTAGGGTGGCATTTACGTTGTTTGTATCCACAATTGATATCTTATTAAAACCTACAAATAGACTTTTGAGTTGGTGAAGTCCTAGGAACTTGTCTAAGTATACTTTGCCGCTAAAAATGTTATCATTCAAGCGGAGAATTTGGAGACTTTTGAAATTGGAAAATAAGCTTGGAATTGGTCCTTGTAATTGATTATTTGCAAGGTCTACGAACCTTAGTTGGGTCAAGTTCATAAACGATGATGGGATATGACCAGAAAGAGAATTACGTGACATATCGAAAATTCTAAGCTTTGTTAGGTTTGAAATAAAGGAGGGGATTTCACCGAATATGTTCCCCCGAGATCCATACAACTCTTCGAGCTCAGTCAATTTCTCAATCCAGTTGGGTTGGCTCCAATTTTCAAACTTGTTATTAGAAAATTCTAAAACAACAAGTTTCGAAAGGCTTACCAATGAAGGAATGGTTCCTGTGAACTCATTAAACCCAATAGTCAATTGAACGAGTTGTGTCATGTTAGCAACTTCACTTGGAAGGGGTCCTGAGAAGAAGCACAACGAAAGATCCAGTGTGATCAAGTGGGTTAGGCTACCGATGGATTCTGGTATATCCCCAGAGAAACTTGTGCTCCATAGAATCAAATGCTCGAGTAAGCTGTTGTTACGAAATTCAGGCAAGGAACCAGTGAGGTCCATGTTCTTTCCCAAGTCAAGAACTTTAAGCTTTGGCAGTTGAAGTATGGTTGTRGGGAATTCATTCTGAAGCCAACAATCACTGAGATTTATAAACCTCAAGGAAGAAAARTTGCCCAAAAAATCAGGTACCGAAGAGCKAATGTCAACCCCYGAGAGATCRAGWTCTTCAAGYCGAGTTAAGTTTTGCACTAGATTCTCAAGACTAGGAMTTTGAAGCTCTAGYKTATTCCTTGACAAATCTAACAAAGACARTTGTATCAAYTGTGAGATCTCTCGAGGAATTTGGCCACTGAATCCAGAAGAGGAGAGATTTAGGCTTTTTAACAGCTTTAAGCGCCCGATTTCAGATGGGATTTGAGATTCARSAAAGTCATTMTTGGCTAGGTTGAGCGTTYGAAGATGAACAAGGCGGAAGAGRARGGTAGTAGAGTTRATAGGGCCACGAAGAAAGCTTTTGCTCAAGTCAAGACCAATCACATGGYGGCCATGATCACCGCACACCACCCYATCCYACAAACAACAACCCAAAACATCRTYTGAWRCATTCCATGAGGCAAACTTCCAAAACTGWGGGRMTCTGAAAGATGAATCTTGGYGAAGAATGCTTTGCTTAAATTGGAACAAAACCAAACACTCCTCATCGAGGGTTAGTAATGGATCCCTACATGTGACTATGATTGTTATCATGAACAATACATATAYGAAAGAGATGGTTTGTCGGAAACTGAAGTAGAAAGCCATGAAGAGATTCAATTAAGGAAAAGGAGTTGTTTTGATTGCTTGTGCAAATGCAAATGCTTGTGCAAATGCAAATGCAAATGTTCTTTATATACATAATAACCTAAATACATAATTAGTAGTCGTTTGATTACATTACAACAATATACTAAATAAAAACACTTGTTTTTTTTGACCATAACTATTGATCTTGGAATATTAGCATCTCCCTAATTCCACCCTTAGTCCTTGTGGTTTGAGAAAGATTGCAATTTTCATCCCTATGGTTTTAAAATTATGATTTTTATCCATATGGTTTATAATATAATGTTGTTTTCGTCTCCGAGATTTAACATGTTAAAAACCATCCAATAACTTAGGTATTTTAATCTTTAAATATGTTGTTTTAAATATGTTCTRATTTAGAGTTTCAACACGAAAATGATGTGTTTTAGRGAGATATTGCTTTTATGATAAAGACATTTCATTCACAYAGATCATGTTTTAAATAAGCAATCTTTTGGATTTAACTATTTTATAATTATAAATGAAAATTGTTTAAACTCACTAGGCGCTAAGACTAACTTTTTTTTATGTGCATCAAGTCCTTGGAGAATGGTACTAGCGACACTGCATTGAACTAATGGCTAATTAGAGGCATGAGAAGGATCTAACTAATCGGTGACGTTTTCCGCTTTTGGAGATAGCTTATGTTATTAGGTTATAATAACAACCGACCTTAATTTAGTCCTTATATGAGACTTGGTTTAGCAATAATTGATGTTAAACCTAGATCTGGTATTCAAGGTATTTAAGTATTGATTTACAAAAAATGAATTTATCCTTCATTTGTTGTATTATTGGAATTTCAAATTACTTGCACTTTCCAGATTTTAGGGTATTACAAAATACACCATATAAAAATGACATTTTTTCAGAATTATTATTTAAAAAAATTAATAGGGCACTTTATTTTAAAAAGTCTCTTTAAAAACATTTACAAACATACATCTGTTTGATATAATTAAATGACTTAGGGGYAGTTTACTAAACGCTTACTTGGTAAGTGCTTACAAAATAAATTTCTTTATTGGATGAACATGACAAGGGCCAAGAATTTTCCTGGGTAAGAGCAATGAGAATGATGGAGAGTATTACCCGGTAAGTGAAGATTACGACTATCACCCAGATAAGTGCTTACACGGTAAATTGTTGCATTCAATACGTTTTGATGTATTAAAATCTTATTCATCAAAATAAATTATAGTGTTAGACTCCTATAGGTAAACACTTACCCGATAAGCATTTGGGTAAACAGCCCCTTACATTTATTTGGAAAAAATAGCTTAAAAGTAGTTAATTGTTTGGATCTATAAAAAATTTAATCGATTGGTCCCTAATRTGAGGAGTACTCAACAAGTAGCACTTGAATGACGTTAGTGGCAKAAATCAAACTAATAAGAAACTAAAACTTTGATGACAAAAAATATGAAAAAACAAATTCTATGAAAAACATTTGAAATTTTTTTATCATAAACAATAACAAAATAATATAAATTTTTTTTTATCAAAAATACTAAAATACCAAAAAGGAAACCAAAGACATATTTAATAAACCAAAAAGAAAAAAAATCAAAAAGACAAAAATACTCATAGGTTAAATGGAGGACTTTTAATAAATTTAGTATCAAGGACGAAAACAACAATAAATTACAAACCATAGAWACGAAAATAACAATACGTTACAAATTACAGAAACAAAAATCGCAATTTTAAAACTACAGGAACGAAACTTACACTCTTTCAGAAACCATGGGGACGAAAATCATAGTTACTCTATTATTTAATTGGATTGGGTCCCACATTCTAAATGGAATAGGTTCATGTTCATGAACCTTATATTCCCCATCTACGATTCCTTCCAATGTGTAAAAATTTATAAAAGGATTTATTTATGAACCTCCCAGTGTGCAATGAAATCAACTATCAAGGTAAGACGTGTTATTTAATTCATCAACAAATTTAAAATCAGTGCAACCAACGGAAATGCAAACAATATTTTTGGTTACATATTAGAGCATTATAATACAATACAGTAAGAAAAAACAACAGGTAATTTGTTACCTCTTAAAACTTTAGTACATGTTCTTGAACTCGAGTATTAGAGAACACTCGCAGTCATGGTTCAGTGACTGGGTTGAAGAAGAAAGCATTAGTGGCCCAGGTAGATTGAAGGACATATAGCCCCAGGAAAAGTGAGCGCATCATCATTAACGAATGCAAAGATTTTGCCATGATTGACACCTGTGGCGCACCGATTAAGACTTAATTAGGGCATGTAATGAAAATCCTCTCATTTTCCCGGGTTCGGATCCAGGCGTTGTCAAGGCGTTTGTAGCTATGAAGGTTTACCTGCGATGACTCCACACATTCATGGTTAAGGATTAGTCAATACACGTAAGCTAGCCTAAGAAGCTACAATTAACCAAAAAATGAGAATAATAGCAAAGATAAGTGTATATGTATGATCAATGGATGAAAATGTAGTATATATAACTAACTTCTCTAATTATTTGATTTTGAGTTTGTCGATCAGTCCTCTAAAAATAATTATTTATGGATTCATCTCTTTAATTAATCCAAATTTGTTATTCTCTTATGATATGATGAGTATTTATTTTTTCTAAATCATTTACAAACCAATATTTTGGTACAAACTCTACTTTCCAATCCTGATCCTCCGACTTTTCAATTAGTGTTTTAATTAGCTTTTAGTTTTTTTTTAATTCAGATGTCTGATATGTAATTTTCACGTGATGATAATCATGTTTGTAACTCGTTTTTCCAAAAAAATTTGATTAACTTGGATATTCAATCAGCTATGCGAGCCGACTAATCCCAAGGCGACCACCTGCTTTGCAGATAGTCCGGAGTCACCGCATTTGAAACTCTGTGGCCACAAGAAGATTTTTATTCCTCCTTGGATTTGAATCTGGGACCTCCTGGTACTTTTGACCTTTGGAGCCAAGCTCAAACCAATCAGGCACCACCTTTGTGGTTACGTTTCTCCAATTTTGACACCAATTTCCCAGAAAATGGCAATCATGATATTCAAGGATTCCAATTATAATATACAAGATATCTGATGAATATTTCACGATTTTTGGCGAGTTCACCATTGATGTTTTGCGCAACTAAATCAACTGTTCATGAGATGTTTGGCCAAGTCATGGATTTGTTCAAGTTGGTCGATCAATCCCTCCTTACTTTAATTACTTATTTAGCTATTTTAGGTCGGAGGTATTTAGCCCCAAAGGGGATTGCGGYTTTCACAAGTTCTTTTAATTCAAACGTTTATTTAAGCATAAAAAATCTTGGATGTTTCTTAAACAAAACCATGCATATCCTATTTTGTTTCTCGTATGAAATCATATTCAAGGGCGTGTCAGAGGGTTATTAAAGAATATTAGCCCCCACTATTTAGGCTGGTGGTTCGAGACTAATTTCTTCCTAGGATTCAACCTCAATTAACAGAACTTTAAGCAGCGTACATAAAAGTAGTTTTCCCTCAAAAAATAACTACCAAAAAGTAGTTTTCTTTCCAAAAATAACTACCATTAACAGAATTAATTATGTATAAAAAGAATGATGAAATTATTTTTTCAAGATGCAAAGTGCTAAGTGCTAAGTCTTTGATTAATTAATATATATTAATCATCCACCAATTCTTTCCAAAAGCCTCCTAAAAGACTTTCAAATATTTGAGCGGAATAGTATTTATTAACACACTTTTACTTTTCTTACCCACCTATGTGGGATACATAATACAAAATTGTAGATAAAATCCATAAGTTCCAACAGTTGCTGCACAACACCCCATCCCATAAACAACAATCAGAAGAACCATCATCCGATGCATTACTTGCGATCTTCCAAGAGTCTAACTTTCGAAACCCGCGGGTTTCGAAATATGCATGAGGAATGGTTTGCTTAAATAGGTACAAAGCCAAACATTTCTCATCATGACTTGATAACGATTCAGTACAAGTAACAATAAGCAACATGGATAGAAAGAGTTTTTGCAGGAAGTTGAAATGTTGGAAGCATGTAGCCATTAAGAAAAGAAGTTTGTCTGATTGTTATTGGATGCGTAATGTCATTTAAACACTTTTTGGATGGAATGGGTTTGAGATTTACTAAGGAACGGTGAATTTCTCAAATTTGGGAGTTTTTGGAATTCAATTTCATTTCATTGGCAACCAAACCTTAGAACGGAATTTGGTCAACGGAATTGACCATTCCAATTTCATTCGATTCCGGTAGATTCCGACGAACCAAACGCCCCCTTAGAGTTTGTTTGTTACCAGTTTAATAATTTTAATAAACCTTATTTAGTCAGTCATACATGACTGTTTGTGATTGTTTGATAATGGTTTAATGATATAGAAAGTGGTTGATTTAATAAGCTTCTACGGTGAAGCTTTTTTTAGAAAGCCAATTTTTTTCGAACATGTCATTCTCAAATAAAAAATATGATCATTTCATCTATGATTTTTTTTTTAAACCTATACAAACAGATTAATCCACATAAACGGTTTTATCTATACATGACTTAATAGAATGRATTTCAATTCCATCAATGAAGGCTTTTTGAACTAAGCCTTCTGTCAAAGTCAAGAAGGTGATTTGGTTTCTGAACCAAGCCAAACCTTATGRAGTGTCGAGACTTGGTTATTTCATAAAGCATATAGTGTTTTGAACTCAGACTTAGCTTTTTCAAAAAGCATGTAGTTTTCTCAACTATACTCAGACGTAGCAATTTTAGAAAGCGCGTAATGTTATTAAGTAAATTATGAGGAGACTTCAAAGTCTTCAAATGTGGCAATGGACAATAATGACGAATCTATTTAAGGTGGAGGAACGCATCAATCCAATATCTTTACCCTTTTTTTCTAAGTATATTTTAAAAACAACAATCATTGACCATTAAGTAAACATACTTTTAATAAATAAATCGGTCTAGA